TTTATTATTTATATTTATTTGTTATTTATGTTAAGTAATTATTCTTATTGCTTAATTAATATTTAATTTACTTCTTTATTGAAGTTATTTGAATTAGTTATTTATCATTTGAATTAGTTTATTATTTCAATTAGTTATTTATTATTTACTTAAATAAAAAGTATACATAAATAATTAACATAATTCAGGAAATATTTAAATAAACAAATAAAGTAAAAAATAAATAATTATATATTAAACAAATAATATACATAAACAATTAAAGTAATTACTTAAAAATTTAAATAAACAATTAAATTAAATATTGATTTATTAAATATTTAATTTAAATTTTTATTTAAATATTTCATTAATTATTTTAATTGGTTATATATATATTGTTTGTTTAATATTTAATTACTCTATTTTGTTTATTTCATATTTATTTACTTCATTTAATTATTTATATTAATTTCCTATTAATTTTAATTGTTTATTGAATATTCAATTGTTTATTATATTTATTTCATTATTTAAATTATTTATATTTTAAATAAAATGAAATAAAAAACAATTAATTATTTTACTTATTAAATAAACAATTTACATAATTCATGAAATATTTATAAACAATTAAATTTAATATTTTTAAAAAAATGGCTAGCACGGGCCAATCCTGATGTCTGGGCCGTCCGGATCCAGACGGCCCAGACAGTCTCGGCAGTCTGGATCCAGACAGCTGGGCTGTCTGGGTCGTCTGGATCCAGATGGCCCAGCTCATCTGGGTTATCTGGATCTAGACGCTGACATCATTGTCGCTTGAATCGTCTGAAAACTCCATTTTCGACGAGTCTAGACGGCCTAGCCCGTCTGGGTCATCTGGATCTAGATGCTGACGTCATTGTCACCTGAATCGCCTGAAAACTCCATTTCCGACGAGCTCCATTCCATTTTTTTTTCACTTTTCTTAACCAATTCAACCTCAAATTCGATTTTTCCTTCTATATTAACTATAAAAATTTGTATTAGACTCATAATTTAACATATTTAGATCTTAAACATTCAAATTTTTATGTATTAAATTCAAACAGTCAAATTCCCACAAATGTTAGACATCAATGGTGAGTAAATTACAAAGAAACATATCTTATCTTTAAGAAATGGTGGTCTCCGACAAATGGTCGAAATGGGTCCGGTTTGAGTGGTCCGTAGGTGACGTTGGTGATTTTCTTTTCTTAGTTTTTCTCTTTCTTTCTCCTCTCCTCCTCTTTATTTGGGGATATTTTCGACCTTTGGATATTGTTTGCATTTTCAGTTTTTTCTTTTTTTCTTTTTAATGAAATTTTTTGGGTCAAAGGCCATTTTGGAAAAATGGCAAAGTTAGACAGTCATCTGCCACCATTTCCTCCCTGTCAAGGACCGAATAAATGAAAATGTACATAAATAGCATTTATTTGGTGCAGAAGCAAAACCTGAATGTAGTGCTCCATTGTACACTTTTATTTCTAGCAGTGTTTCTTTAATGATCGTTGACTTTCTTTATAGGTAGCATTTTTCAGGCACTATTTTCATCTTCGGATTAGATTTCATCAAAATTTTCACCGTGAGTTACAGTGGACTAAATTTTTTCAGTTTTATATATTTTTTTATAAATATGAAATCGTCATTAAAATTTGATAATGATCATAAAAAGAGAAATGTTACAGAAATAAAATATTCAATTTCTCTTTTGTAAACTTCACATCAAAATAGAGTATAATATTATATTGAAGTGATCCTCTACAAAATCTTATATGTTCATTTTGTGTCTACATTCTTTCTGAAACTTTATTGCTCTCAATGATCGAGAATTAGGATTTCTAATTCTCAACATAAACCACCAAAGCAAACAAGATTTTTTGTCCTACAAGCCTCATATAGTGCAACACGACCATCAAATTTTCATGGATGGAGTCGTGCTGAGCTTTTTTGTCGTGTGTGTTTTAACTATTGTCTTATTACCATTGCAGCATTTGCTAATATTAATGATCAAAATTGTATTCAAATCACCAGTTTCAAACTTTCAATTTTCAAATGTTTGGGGATGGAATAGCAAGTCACCAATTTAATTGAAATAGTAAAAGAAATCACTGTCAAACTACTCAGTAAAAGTTGAAATCTGAGTCTCTAATGCAGAGCTGCCAAGAATTATTTGTGTTAGGAAAATGTGTAATTGGCAATCTGTGACCAAAGGACCTATTTGTTATGTTTGTAAAGTCAGGGACTAAATCGTAAAGGCCTAATAGTTCAGGGACTAGAGTTGCAATTTAATAAATTTCATAGCATAGGTCTAGGGTAAAGTGGGATGCTTTGAAGATGCAAACGGCGCGTTGATTTCGCTAGAGTTTCGCCCTGACCTTGCTCGAGCCAAAATTGCAGAACTGATCTCGTTGGAGTTTCGCTGGGCAGTCGCTCGAGCGAAGGTGCGTCTCTCGAGTTTCGCCAGCACCTCGCTCGAGCGACGATGTTATCTGGCCATTGGTAATTTTAATGCCTCGCGAATTTTTAACGCTCCATATTTCCAAATTTGACCTACTATATAAACAAAACGTCCGATTTTCATTAAATACTTTTGGACAACATTCAAACAAGAACTTCTTTTAACTTCCAAAGGATTTAGAGCCAAACATTCGATCTTTCTCATCTTTTGATTCTCATGATTTTTGAATAAAAACATCAACCATCACAAAACCAAAAACACCCCTTCATATCTCCATATCAACTTCCAAAATATCATCTGTTTGAAGATCCGGGAAGGAAATTACTTGAAGAGTTAGAGTGCTTGGTGATTCACAGGAAGTAGAAGATATTCAAGGCTGGGATTTTGGCGTAGATCTGCAGAATTCAGGAGAGCTTTGGTTGATACAGTAAGGAGGTCAGAGAATTATTAGTTCAATTATGTCTGGCGTACTGTAAGTCAATATTTTCGATAGTGGATCTCTACTGGCTTGTGCCCGGAGTTTTTACCCAGTTGGGTTTTCTCCGTCAACATTTTGTGGTGTTTTTACTGCTTTTTGTTATTTATTTTTCAACCACTAATTCAATTTAGGTAGATAAAGTATGTGAATGAATCTAGGCAATGCATAATTTATGTGACTTGTTGCATAAATTAATTAATTGTTTTAATTCCGCATAAACACCTATTCACCCCCCTCTAGGTGTTGGTTGGGTCGAACTATATCTTTTTCAAGTGGTATCAGAGCCAAATCTTGAGTCCTGACCCATAGTTGTCTAGATGAGTCAATCACTTTCTGTACCTCCATATTTTGACGGAAGTAATTATGCCTATTGGAAGGTTAGAATGCGTGCGTTTCTTAAGTCTTTAGATGAGCATGTTTGGGTAAGTGTGCAAAATGGTTGGAAACCTCCCTCTACTATCGTATCAGGAGCTGTTAACCTTACCGACATATCACTGTGGACTAAAGATGAAATAGCTTAGTGTAATTGGAATAGCAAGGGTCTTCATGCCCTGTTTATGGCCGTGTCTCCCGAAGAGTTTAGGAGAGTGTCAATGTGTTAAACTGCTAAAGAGGTTTGGGGCATTCTTGAAATTACACATGAGGGAACTAAAACGGTAAAGAACTCTAAGCTACAAATGCTAACTTCTAGGTTTGAAGAAGTGAGAATGAAGGATGATGAAACGTTTGACGAATTCTATGCTAAATTGAATGACAGTGTCAATTCTAGCTTCAATTTAGGTGAGAAAATTACCGAGTCTAAAATTGTGAGAAAAGTGCTTAGGTCCTTGCCCGAGAGATTTAGGCATAAAATCAGTGCCATTGAGGAAAGTAAGGACCTAGATGAAGTTAAAATTGAAGAACTGGTAGGATCGTTGCAAACGTATGAACTCACTATTACACAACCTAAGAAAGGAAAGTCCATAGCCCTAAAATCCATCAAAGAAAATGAATGTTCTAATACTGAGTCACTTAGGGACGAGGAAATTGCATACTTTGTTAAGAAATTCCAAAAAGTTCTCAAGAATAGGAGAAAACCTCAAGATAAAAAGAGTGGAGCCCCTAGCAGATTCACAAAAGCAAAAACTGAAACATTTAACAATAAAGGGTCGAGTGATAAACCACGTTTGGTTAGGTGTCATGAGTGTCAAGGTATAGGTCACTATAGGAATGAATTCCCTAGTTATAAGAAGAACCAAAGAAAAGGGAAAGGTAAGGCCTTAGTTGTCTCACTTACAGATAATGAATCTGAGACCAGTGATAGACATGATTCTTCTAGTAGTGAGGACGAAGGAAACTATATGGCATTTGTATTGACTGTGAAGAGTGAATCTGATAAGGAGAGTGACAAGGTTGAGGAAGAACTTTCAAACGATAATTCTAGTAGTGAGGATGAGGATGAGATAGACATACAAGAAGCGTATCAACTTTTATTTAAAGAGAGTCTTAGAATCAAAAAGGTCAATAAAGTCCTACTCAAAAAGGTTGATGAATTTGAAAGAGAAAAAGAGAAACTTGCTAGTAATTTTCAGGATTCTCTTAAGAGTGGTAGTGAGTTAAAGTGTGTCAATGAGAAGTTAGAGGAGAAGATTAAGACTTTAACTAGTGAATTGGAGAAATCTAATGCTCATCTTCAGACTTTCGTGAGTGGGACTAAGAAATTGGACAATATTTTGGAAATGAATAAGCCTGCAGGAGATAGGAAGGGTCTAGGATATGTTGAGGGTAATACACATGTTGCTGGACCTTCTAAAACAGTTTTTGTTTCTGCCTCTAAGAAAGCTAATGCTGTTAGTAGTTCAAATAAGGGTAAGAGAGTTCCGAGAGAACAGAGTCATCAATCACGTAGGAACTCCATACCCAAATACCCACAGCCACGTACCTTTGAGTCTAGGTTCATTCCCACCTGTCACCACTGTGGAGCTCTAGGACACATTAGACCTAGATGCTATAAGTTAGGCAATGAGCGTAGAAATCAGAACATTCCTAGTCAGGTTAGCTTTCTGTCTAATCAGGTTAGTCATTTGACTGAGATGCTTACTAAACTTACTAGGAGTACTTTATCATCTAAAAAAGTTTGGGTCAAAAAGGGCGATCTAGCTAGACATTCAGGTCAAGAAAAGTGTTTCATTGCTCATGTTGCATTAAAAGCCCAAAATTACAATATGTGGTACCTAGATAGTGCATGTTCTAGGCATATGTGTGGTAATAAGGCTTTATTCACTACTCTTGATGAATATAACGGTGGTATGGTTACCTTTGGAGATGGGGGTTCTACACCTATTCTTGGCAAAGGTATTGTACAAATGCATGGCTTACTTGTGATCTCTAAAGTGCTTTATGTGGAAGGTTTAAAATCTAACTTGTTAAGTATTAGTCAAATTTGTGATGCCGATTTTGAGGTGAGCTTTGTGCAAAAGAGATGTACTGTGTATGATTCGTCTGGTGGGGTGGTTCTTGAAGGGGTTAGAACAACCGATAATTGTTATGGAGTCTTGCCTAATTCTAACTATGTGTGTAGGAGTGTTGAAATTGATGTGAGTGAACTCTGGCACAAAAGGTTAGGTCACTTGAACTATAAGAGTTTAGTACAACTAGCTAAGAAAGAGTTGGTAGATGGTTTGCCTAAGATAGGTCCTAGTGAAAATGCTGTGTGTGGACCATGTCAACTAGGTAAACAACTTAAGGGAAACCATAAGAAGACTTCTAAAATTCTGACCAAAAGACCCCTAGAATTGATACACATGGATTTAATGGGACCATCTAGGACTGAGAGTTTAGGAGGTAAGCGATACATTCTAGTTGTGGTAGATGACTTCTCGAGGTTCACATAGATAGAATTGCTTAGGAAAAAATCTGATGCATGTGATCTCATAAAGTCTTTGTGTAAACGGCTTAGCAATGAACTGGATCTCAAAGTGTCTAGAATGCGTAGTGACCATGGAAAAGAGTTTGAGAATTTTAATCTTGAGAGTTTCTGTATGGATCAAGGGATATTGCATGAGTTCTCTTCCCCTATCACTCCTCAACAAAATGGGGTGGTTGAAAGGAAGAATCAGGTTCTTCAGAACATGGCTAGAGCCATGCTTCTTGGCGAGGGACTGACCCTACATTTTTGGGGAGAAGCTGTTAACACCGCATGTCACATAATTAATAGAGTTTACCTTAGACCCAAGACCGATCAGACTCCATATGAAATACTTAAGGGTAAAAAGCCTACTGTTAAGTACTTTCGAGTATTTGGAAGTAAGTGCTACATTTTGCGTGATAGAGAGAACTTGAGTAAGTTTGAATCGAAGAGTGATGAAGGAATCTTCCTAGGGTACTCTAGAAATAGCCGAGCATTTAGGGTGTATAACTTACGTACTCGTGTGGTGATGGAGTCAATAAATGTTGTGATAGATGATGCTGTAAGTGAGGGGGAGAGTGTTGAAAATTGTGATAGAGATGGTGATCTTATAAGTTCTAGTGATCCTACTGAGCCACATGTGTCTGAATCATCTCTTGGGAAACCTGACACACCTGAAAAGAAAACACTTCCCCAAGATCGAGATAAAGATCCTAAGGAACCATTGACTAGGGTTAAGTCTAATCATCCTAAGGACAATATCATTGGGGATCTAGATGAAGGTATGAGGCTTCGTAGGAGAGTAATGAACAATCTAGCATACACTAGCTATGTATCTCAAGTAGAACCTAAGAAAGTTGAAGAGGCCCTTGGTGATGAGTGTTGGGTGGATGCGATGCATGAGGAGCTCAATCAATTTGCTAGGAACAATGTGTGGATCTTAGTTCCCAGACCTGAGAATTGTAATGTTATTGGTACTAAATGGATCTTTAAGAATAAGACAGATGACTAAGGTACTATAATTAGGAATAAGGCTAGATTAGTTGCTCAGGGTTATACTCAAGTTGAAGGAATTGATTTTGATGAGACTTTTGCCCCTATTACACGACTTGAGTCTATTCGGATTCTGCTTGCTGTTGCTTGTACCTTAGGGTTCAAGTTACATCAAATGGACGTTAAAAGTGCCTTCTTGAATGGACTTCTTCAAGAAGAAGTCCATGTGGAACAACCAAAAGAATTTGTAGATCCTAAATTTCCTCACTATGTCTACAAACTACACAAAGCCCTCTATGGTCTAAAGCAAGCTCCTAGAGCTTGGTATGAGAGATTTACATCATACCTTGAAGAACATGGATTCTCTCGAGGTGGTGCAGATAGGACCTTATTTATTAGACATGTTGATGAAACTATCACCATTGCTCAGATTTATGTCGATGACATTATTTTTGGCTCTTCTCTTGAGTCTTTAGCTTATGAGTTTGCAGAGTGTTTGAAGCAAGAATTTGAGATGAGTATGGTTGGGGAGTTGAGTTATTTCCTTGGACTTCAGGTAAGACAGACAGAGGATGGACTGTTCATTTCACAGTCTAAGTATGCTATGGATCTAGTTAAGCACTTTGGACTAGATAGTAAGAAGCATACTAGGACACCTATGAGTACTAGCTTGAAGTTAGGTCGTGATCCTTCAAGTGAGAGTATAGATCCTTCCCTATATCGAAGCATGATAGGTAGTCTTCTTTATCTCACAGCTACTAGACCTGACATTGCTTTTAGTGTTGGTGTGTGTGCTCGATTTCAGGCATATCCAAAAAAATCATATTTAAGCTCTATTAGACGCATCATTAGATATGTGAGTGGTACAGTTGATCTAGGGATATTATATTCTAGGAATTCCAATCTTGACTTGGCTGGTTACTCCGATGCCGATTGGGCCGGGAACGCAGATGATAGGAAAAGTACGACAGGGGGTTGTTTTTACATGGGTAGCAATCTCGTAGCTTGGTTAAGTAAGAAACAGAATTCTATATCTCTATCCACGGCAGAAGCCGAATACATAGCTGCAGGGAGTTGCTGCACTCAGCTTCTCTGGATGAAGCAGATGCTGAGTGATTATGGGATTAGTCAAGGGACCATGACTATTTTCTATGATAACACAAGTGCTATAAATATTTCTAAGAATCCCATTCAACACTCTCGAACGAAACATATAGACATACGACATCATTTTATTCGTGAACTTGTTGAATCACATGTAATCTCTCTCGACCATGTCTCTACTGATAATCAATTGGCTGATCTACTTACGAAACCACTAGACGAATTGAGGTTTGAGTCATTTCGGACGGCTGTTGGTGTTTGCTCACCTATCTGATCATGGATTCATGCATGTTTATGCATTCATCACATGTGAGTGTGTGATGCATTTTTTTGTAAGTTTAGTCTTCTTTTGTGTGTTATATTCGTGTGTTTAAATAAAAAAAATAAAATAAAAAAAAATAAAAATAAAAATAATAATAATAATAATAATAATAATAATAATAATAATAAAATTATATAAAAAAAATTTTTGGGCCTTTATGTAACGATTGTGGCATTTGCATTAAAGATCAAACTCTATTTTTCTTCATATGTACGAGTCTGAGGTTCCATCATTGTTCATTTTTTGACTGTGGAGTTCTGGGTATATGGCTCGTCATTCATTTTCACACAGCACACACTGTAGTCTTGTAAGTGAGTCTTGACCGCATGGGTGAGACTTGGGATGATGTTCTTCTATGATTGGGGTTGTATGTACATTTGACGTGATCTGGGATGAGTGTAACCTAATCAATATTGTCTTTCCCCAGTTTTATTTTGTTATTTGTTGAACTTATGACTATCTTCAGGGCCTACTTGACTCGAACAATTAAGTCTGAGGGGTTTCTAACCTGGTGCCCTATAGTCGTCTGACTTGGGAGTCACCGGCCCAAAGTTCGTTACAGGGGTCATTTATGTTGCCTAATGAGGATTGCATTGCACTTAAGTTCTTTTGTTAATCTTATTTAAAAAAAAATGGAATCATACAATTAGTGGGAGTAAAATTGTGACAATCATAATAATTGATATAGGTCCTTGTGGAATTGGATTTGACTGTCACTTGGTAGACATTCACCTTTGTCTGGTTGTTTTCACATGTCCTTTCTCACTAATATAAGGTTTTGAGTCTAACTTGTATGGACTATGTGGCACGTTTCACGGTGATGTTCTGTATACACTTTCCTCCACGGGATTCTGAACTATGTGTGGACTTGCGATTTGTCTACGTGCTGGTTGTCGGGTTTGTGATTTTATGCTTATTGTTGGTTTCGATTGCATATTTGGTTCCATGCTATTTTTTTTGTTTTTTTTGGGATTATTTTCCACTATTACGTAGTTCGCTTGTGTTTGAAAATACATGGTTTAGGGAAAATTTCATAATTTGTTGAACATTGTGCCGTGTTTCTTAAAATTCAACTTTCTAGTGCTATTTTTGACATTTGGTTTCTCGCTCGAGTTTCGCCTAGCTTTCGCTCGAGCGACAAAAGCAGTTTGCTTGTCGCTCGAATCTCGCTAAGGCCTCGCTCGAGCGACAGGTCAATTTTAAAAGGTCCTGTTTCATTTTTTCGCGCAACTTCTTCCATTTCACTCTTGTTTTTTTCGTTTCTTCTTGACTTCTTCCATATTTCGTCCATTGATCACATAAATTCGGGGCCCTAAAACAATTATTCTTCCGAATTTCCATTGCTACACATCAAATTGAGGTTTTTTTTTTCATTTTTTTCTTTCATTCTCCTCGTGTGTTTTGCTTATTTTTGTGTTCTTGCTTGATTGTTCCTTCATTAATGTAGGCTTCGTCCTTCCTTTGTTTCATTGGATGTTATTTCACGCGTTTTGCATCACGATTTCCATTGAATTGTTCATTTTTCATTCATTTGGTTATGTGGTTTTTCATGTTTTTCTTCCATTTTCATTAAGTCCGTTCTTGCATTCCGTTAATCCGTTTCTTGTGTGGTTTATTTCATTTTAAAGAGCATGTTTTCTAGTTTGTGGGACTATGCTTGGTTGTGTGGTTGCGTCTCGTATGTACTTGGAATTGTGTACCAAAGTGATGCACGCCACATGTTCGATGCAAGTCCTTAGTTATATGTTTTTTTTTTGTTTCCTTCATTTTTGTGCTTCTATTTTCTTTCTTTCCTTTCCGTCGTTGTTTCATTGCCCTCCCGTGCCATGTTGAGTGTTTTTACACATATTTTTGGTGTATATTTACATCATGCTTCGTTTGCTCTACGGGTCGTTCACGTTTTTCGATGCATCTCTTTCGTGCCTCGTTTGAGTGTGCAGTGTTTCACATCATAGTGCATCGTATCACGTGCATTTTTCATCTTACTTATTAGTTCCGTCTCTCCGTATGCCAGATGGCCCGTAAGCGTTCTCGATCCTCTGCACAGCCAGCTGGTGGTTCGACGTCGTATAGTCGTTCCAGATTCATTTCTGCTACAGCTCAGGAGGTCTTCATTTCTCAGTTCTCCTTACGCCCCGTTCTCATGGAGCATGAGGTAATCTTATCTGACCTTCCTGTTGATATCGTCGCCATTTTTGTTTCCCGGGATTGGGAGCCCCTTCTTGTTGGTCTTTCACCTCCTTCCCCACTCCTTGTTCAGGAATTCTATGTTAATATTCATGATTTAGACGGCTCGTCTTTTCGGGTTACTCTTAGAGGTCATTCTTTTAGGGTTACTCCGTCGACTGTAGCTCATACTTTAGGTATACCTCAGATTACCCATCCGACTTATCCCTATATTTTACCTGCTTCTATTCCGATCGATGCTCTTGTTCGATCGACGCTTTTGAACACCCCATCTATCGGGGGGCCTTCGACGATGGCCACAGGGTCATTACCTACTAATCGTCAGGTGGTGTTGCGCATAGTGTGTACAAACCTGTGGCCGGTTGCCCATACCTCTTCAT